ATCAAAAAGCTCCCCGCAAAAAGCAATGTGCGCATTCTCTTGGTTCTGAGACGAGCAATCGATCCAATTGTATTCATTGCAAAGCGTAATCAGTTCAAATTCTTTTAAAAGTAAACTAAATTTCCAAGTATATGGAACAAAGTGTAAAATATCAGGTCTTGCTTTACTCGCCCAATCATTGATCATATCTTGAAAAAAGTCTTTATGCGAATAAACTAAATTAGCAGTTGCTTTACATCCAGTTAAATTCAGCGTCCATTCTTGATGATCATTCCATTTAAGAGGATAATGACATTTTACTCCAAATTCTAAGGTCTCACTTTCAACAAGACTTCGATACTGCAGACTAGTTGTAGCTTCCAAATGCAAAAGCTGACCCGTTATCTTTGTAGTATAACCGTCTTGTAATACTATCCATGGCATTGTAATTTCTAAATATGATCCTGGTCCTACATTAACATGAACAGCATTTGTTTCTCTATTTTTACTAAAAAGTATATCAATCGTTGCTTCATTTAATGTTGATAATCTAATGTCGAATGATTGAACTTGTCTTTTATCTCCTGGTTTAGGCAATTTTGTAATTTTCATTGATTGATAATCATTGGGAAAAAAGAATTTAAATAAATTCTCTCGTTGTCTATCGGCCCAAGGGCCATAACTAAAATCTGTACCCTTTCCGCACTTGATATCGATACCCCATATGGGAGGCATTGCTTCAACCATATCTCCATTCACCAATTGTATCATTTCAGGATGTTCCGGTACGACGCCAGGTTCATCCATGTAATAATAAACCTCCATATTATTTGAACTTAAAATAACAAAACCTTCTCCCATGTATCTAGGTGGATCATCAACCATTCCAGTATATTTCGGGCTAGGAGCCAAAATAACTTTAAAATTCTCAGCTTTGCACTTGGTAAAGTGCATAAAATGATCGTGCCTAGATGCTGCTGGTTTTGTAGAATATACAAAATGTGCTTCTTCCACTGTTATTGATAATGTAGTTGGCACTAATCGATTACCAAATACTAGTCTTCCCTAGAAAAGAAGAAGGAACATATTGCGGCAATGTTTTACAAGTTATGTATTTGTGACCAAGTATAAATAGCAAAGTTAAAGCAGAGAATAATTTGATATTACTGACTGTGCAAATATCTAGTTTAATAACTGGTATCAAGTCTCTCCAAGTACGTGCAATCACATGAGCTTCCTTCTTTCTAATATTATCAACATGACGAGATACATCCATTGCGTTATTAATTTGTGAATGACGAGTTTCATTAGCTGCATTATTTATAGATTCTCCATCTAGATCGTCACTGTTTATATTATGACATTCTTCATCAGCAAACATTTGTGGTGTAAGACCAAAAGATTTTTCTAATTGTGCATAAAGTTGACAGCGATTGTAAACATGTAACTCAAAGCCATTTAACATAACTGACAATCGTGTGTCAGAATGCGAGAGATCTATAATATACAAAATTTTATAAGATATATATATTGTTATTTTACAATTTGGTTGGAAAATTTATATAAGTATAATATCCAGTATTAAACAAATATTTGCCTTCTGATACATCTTTAGGGACATAGCTTCTCCACCACCTAAAAATGAGCCAACCATCCTGAATTCTAAAACTATAATCTGTCGTGATATAAACTATGTCCCTAAACATTATTTTCCCGCTTAAAGCACTTAGTATGACAGATCCTGTGAATAAAGTAAATGTATAATGAATATTTTGAAATAGTTTGTTAATTCTCTGTTAAATATGCTAATATGTTCTTACCAACTTTAACATATCCGTCTCTAATAACAAACCGATTTAACAACTTTGTCAATATATAACCAGCTACTCTACTATTATAATAAGCAATATAAACAATCCAGGATATGGCAGATACTAGCGAACATAGCAACCATATAAAGTTGCTATCCATTTTAAGATCATCCAAGATGACATGATCGGAATAATTCCAAAATGCCGATTCAATCCCAAAGAAAGATGAGACTGTAGCATTGTATAGTTCGTTCTCCTCCATGATAATGCTATTTTTTCAACTACTGAATTAAAAACTATTGTTCATAATATATTATATACTGAAATAATAAAAAAAGTCTATTTAATATATTTATTAATAAATATAAAATACATGAATAAATATAAAATGTTTATATATGTAATATATCGCATAATAAATGCAATTATTTAATTATTTACAAATTATGAAAAAAAAAATGAAAATTTATTATACTATTTAGTATAAATCTATCTTTATACTTTGAATTTATATTATCAAATTTATCTTAACATAACCTATGCGTTTCTATACAGTTGTAAAAAGATTTTTATCACAATTTAGTTAAGTATAATGCTTGTTCTACAGTTATTTGTCTATTATTTTTCAAAACATGCAATTAACTCAATTGAACTGACACGTCAAAAAAAATTTTATTAAACTTTGATATCACGAAAACAAAATGTCTAAATCTACAGATATGCTGAATTGTTTGCGCATTCACTGTGTATGACAAAAATTTTGATATTTCTTTTCCAAAAATAATTCAATCACAATAATCTCGTCTCTGCAGGAAAAGCGATTACCTGTTCAATGCAAAACGACATTTTCTTTCCACGATTTACCTTTATTAGCTAGTCGGGTATAAAGCACATTGACATTTTGATGTGCCATTCATATTTCTACGCTTGTCATTATAATAATCCTATTATCATTGTAATAATCTTGAGAGAAGTGTTGGAGAGAGAGCATTAATGAACAATGACACGAATAACCACTCCATATTTGACGTATTTGCTTGACCAATACATTATTAAGGTAAGTTTACACTGATCTGTACGCATAGAGCTTATAATACTGAAGTGGGAATACGAACGTCGAGCTGTGAGAGCAAGATCTAAAGGACTGAAATATCTTTCTATCTTCTTCTATTCTCTTTTAGCACATGCGCAGAAAAAAGAAAAGTTACTGAACAGGACAGAAATATTTTAATTTTTCTATCTTCTTTTATCCTCTTTTGGCACATGTGCAGAAAAGAGAAAAGTTACTGAGCAGGACAAAAATATATCTTCTGTCTCTCAGATCTTGCTTACACTTTCCACTCATTGATCCAATTTTTACCGAGGATTTAATCCGAATTAAAATGAAGGAACCAACTAACTACAGTCGAGCATTCCCCTGTCGATCGACTGTAACAGGGGAATACTCAACTATAGTTGGTTGCTACTAAATTAGGCCATTGCTTGGATAGGTCATTTCCTCTCCAGTGGTATAAGCTCTATGTTTGTACGATGGTAGTCAAAAAATGACTGCGTTCAGCAGAGAAAGCAGCTTTGCAACTGTTATAAAATTCTTTAATATGATTGGTCTTGCCCTTCTCATTAAATATAAATGTATAGACCAATCATATTTTCATTCAAGAATTCAAAAACTTATTCAAAAATTTTACAATAGTTGTAAAACTGCTTTCTCTGCTGAACGCAGCCAATTGTATTTTAGAAAAAGATTACAAACATTTAGCCTTAAGCTTAAAGATATCTTTACGTGGCAGTGTCAAGTATTGAGCATTGAGTCGATTGAGCATCGTGAGCTTGCTATTTGTCAATTTTAACCACGAGACGAATTTTTAGCGAATAATAAGCTCAAGATGCTCGACGCTTGACCCTATCATAAATGGCATGAGTGCTTTCCATTTGATGACACAAGTCGACACAAGCGTCGATCTATCTTCTTGATATTCAGAAACAAAGATAGAACGACACTTGTGTCATCAAATGAAGAGCATCCCATGTAGGATGGTCCACTCAGCGCTATAAATGCTTTGAAGCGTTTGATTGATCAATCGAAAGAAAGAATTTTATTAATTGACCAATCAAAAAATTCTTCAAAACATACATTTGTAGCATCAAGTGAACCATAGCCGTAATGGCACTTTATGCATGATCTACAATGGGCAGTAACAGTAGTGGATTAAGAAGTAGGCGTAGAAATCGACCAATGATAGTTAATTATCCTTCTCACATTTGACTATGATTTGTTGATTTCTATGCCTACTCCTTAATCCATTACTGCTACTACTCATTGTAGACGACGCATTAGGCATGTTACACAATAGAGTTGTAATTTGTAAGGTGTAAAAAATTAACCAATCATAATCGATTATTTTTGTTATATTTAACTGTGATTGGCCAATTTCTTGGTTAAGCACGGCTTACGAATTGCAACTCTATTGTGTAACAAGCCTTAAGGCCAATATTTTATGTAGCGTACTACAAGACTTTCAAGCCTATTTATTGGCAGGACGAGAATCTCTCTGTTCTACAGCCAATCAATAGGCTTAAAATATTGGGCAATAATGGGCTAATAATGAGCACATTTAGCGGATTCAACAATTGAGTGAGCGCTCGCTGGTGTATTCCTTCAGATTATCCAATTAGTATTTTAAATCTAGAAAAATACATCAATAGCAACGAGCTTAAGTGTTGAAACGCAGTCATTATTTTCTTACAACTGAAGAAGACTCGGTAAAATTTAAATTTTATATTATAGATAAAAAGAAATAAACGTATTTATTATTTATCGTTAAACTGACATTTCTTTCGCACGTTTTTAGTCTTTTGAAAATTTGTAGTATTTTACAGTATTCTTAATTAATTTTCCTAACGGGATCTTTATAAATTGGCTGTATTCCAAATTTACTGCCAGCGCTGAAAATACTTTATGTGTACTATAGATTTTCAGTACTGGCAATCAATTTTGGAACGTAGCCCGCTATAGTAATACTCGACTATCGAATATTGATTATCGAATGCGCATCAATGCGCATGCACCAAAAAGCGGTTCGTCTTAATAACACTGCGTGTTTATAATAGTGTAAAACTAATTAAAATACAAAATTTTTGAGATTATTTATCTAATTTTGTGATATTTATCTAATTTTTTATGAAATATTTATTAATTCTTATGTACATATATTTTTAAATCATTTTGTGACAGTGGTAACAGTTTCATTATATATAACTATATACTGACTTCAGTTAAACAGAAGGTTATATGTGGAAATAATAATTCTTAAATTTTATCCTATTATATTTAATTTTTGTTCCATCGTGATTATTATTATTTTGTACCGCTATATTTGAAATATTTATATATAAATGCTCAAGCTTTCAACTTTGTTCAAAATGATTTCAGATTTATTAATATTCATACATATAGAGGTATATCCATATATAACTAGTAATAAATTATTCAAAACTTAAGATGACACGCCTATTAGTCAGAAGCCCAATGTTAATGTCCCCATTTCCATTTTTCAACAACCATGATCGGTATGATAAGCCTGTAAATACAATAATAAAACCACTAAATGATGAATTAGGTTGGGACAGAGTAAAAAAAATATTTTCTGCTGAGTATGTATCATGTACATATGCATATCTAAATATAAAATCTTCTACTTCAATTGCATAAATAAAATTTGTATTACAATGATTCATGATTATAATTTCATTTTTTAGAGAAAATGGATTTTCCAAAGAACTGCAATCTATCATAAATATAACAGTGTCAGGTTTTGCAGTTGGCTTAGTTATGGGTGGTATGAGTTCAAGTAAAACCACAATAAATAATTTCATCATGAATAACGAAGCAACACGATTCACAAGCCATTTTGATGCAAAAGAAAGTCTTCAACGATTGGTAGTTACAAATTTTTTAAAGAAGGGTGGACGATATGGAACAAGAATTGGGACATTTTGTTTTATCTTTAGGTACATATGTATACTTTTTATGGCCTAAAATTTATGGAAAGTTAAAATGATATTTCCTTTTATAGTTTCATAACAACATGTACATCATCATATCGTGGAAAGGTAGCACTAGAGAATTATATGTTGGGTGGTTCCATAACAGGATTATTATTTAAAATGAATCTGGGGCTTCGAGGAGCGCTTGTTGGCACTGGACTTGGTAGTATATTAGGTGGAATATGTGGTGGTGTATCACTTCTTATTCTTAAGTTATCAGGAACAACCATAGATGAAGTATTAGAAGCACAAAACAATTGGATAAATTCAAGAAAAACGTAAGTAAAATATTATCTATTTTATAATTTAAATATTGAATTTGATATTTCTTACAAGAGACATCTACATTCAATATAAGTATACTGTGTTATATCATTGAATGTATAAGTTATAAAATTATACTGATTTTTTAAATACATTAATATATTTTTAACAATTGTAGGACGAGTGAAATGATGAGAGAACGTATGAGAGAACATATGAGTAGTGAATTATCAGAAATACAAAAATTACACGAAGAAAATAAAAAACTGCACGATAGAATACACGAAAATGATAATAACAAAATAAACTCATAATTATATAAATAAATCTTATATATAGAAAAACATCTGTGAGATCGAAATTTTTATTATCCATTTGTCATTGCCTTAAAGTTTTTATGAGATACGAAACAATTAAACAAAATTTTCTAACGAATATACATATAAATTTTACACATAATTTATCACATAAGTGCGAAGTTTGATGAATCTTTTGTATACACATATATGTAATATATATATACACATATGTGTGTATATATATATATACATATATATAATTGGCTTAGTGATTAAACAATAAAATAAATAATTATATATTTTAAGTATATATTTACAGAATAGGCCAAAATAAATTTATCTTTAATATCTTTTCTTTTAAGTAAAGTAAATGAGAAATAAGAATCATGCATATTTTATAACAATGCGTGCACAAAAATATATTAAAAATCTCTATCCTGCTTTTATTTTAACATTTATAACTTCATAAATAGTCTTTTAATTTTCTTGTCCAGAGGATGCTAACTCTTGAACCTTGGTTATACGCTTAGCACCTCTGTTCGGTGGACCCTTGGGTTTAGCGAATTTTGGCTGATGTAAACTGATTTTTGGATGTAATTCCTCTTGAAAAAACTCTTCGGTAAGTTCCTGTCCAGCAGCTATTTCAAGCTGTGCAATTAAATTGTAAAGAAAAATTATAATATATGTGTAATGTACATCTAATAGAATAAAAATTTACGAAATGAATAATATATATATCAACAGAAGTAGGTAATGTAGTTATATAAGAGATTTACTACTGTAAAAATGGAGAAAATCAGGAAAAAGATAAGTTATATAAACATATGGCTGTAGATCATATAGCAGGCCTATTCTGTAAGTTATAACAAAACATGCCTTTGAATCTTAAAAATAATAACTACATACCATTTTAAGAAGTGTCGCCAAGTCATCCTTAGCAATAGCAATATACATACCTAAGTGGTCCTTACTAATTATATATGTACCTAGTATAAATGTACATATAATACTGAATATAATATAAAAAGAAACACCAAATTGTAAGTTTAAGTTGCATAATGCTTTATTAGATTTCCAGTAATATTCAATATTGGCAAGATATATATACAATTTCCTTGATTTTAATAAGTTATATAGATATAACTGAAAAGTCCAGAGCTAAGATAAAATCGAAGAGTTACAGAATAGGCCTGATATAACACTTAACTAAAGTATATTATTAGGCAATATATATATTGTGGGTCATAATTTAAAAAAATAGAATACGTATGTTTAATTAGTCTTCAGTATGGTACAAGAATTAATTTAAATATATTTATGCAAATATGAGCCAAAAACTGTACTCTTTCCTTTTCTGCTTTAGACATTCTCTCTCTCTCTCTCCCCTCTGTCTTTTTCTCAACTAAACTAGAAAGTTAAATAATTCATTAAAAATAAAGGATATAATAATTAGGATTATAAAAAAATCTATAAAATCATATAAAAATCGCACTAATATAAAAAATATTAACTGTGCATGGAAAGAAAAAAATCCAAGAATTTGGCTCAAATAATTTTCACAGCACAAGTAGACCCAGCTGTTTTATTAATCATTTTTCCGCACGCGTATTTTATGACTAAAACATTCAAAAAGTTTATAAAAAGCTACAAGTGTTAAGAAAATACAGATCACAAAAAATAGAATGCCTCTCATATATTTTGTTGCGGACTATCAAATTGTAGTCCTATCTGCTGTAAATTGCATGTCCACTTAAATATTTGAAAACATTTTCTCTCTGGAGATATTTTATTTAAATAATAAATTATTGTAATAAATATATTAAATAATGCTCTTAATATACCTCGAATAACATAGCTTTTTAAAACTTTAGTAATAATATAAGAATAACAAATAATTACCATTAATCTTGTTTAATAGTTGGAAATATATAATATTTAACACAGCTGATAGGACTCACCAAGATCAGTCTTACATCATACACATATTTGTAAGATCTAATATTTTTAGCATTTACAATAGTGTAGAACATGATATAAAATTTTATATGTAAAATAACTAGTGTTATCACTATCTTGTAGCTGAAATAATAGTGTGCGAAAAAAATATATCCACATTAATGTGGCGTTTGCATATTTATCACTCGTCTAATAACTACGTTATTATCATATTGAAAATATATAGAGAAGTTAGGTAAATGGCTTTAGCTCTTTCTCTTTCCTTCTACCTATTTAGAGCACAAATGGAATTTTTCCTAACTCTCTACTCACATCACATATGGTGTATATAGTTACCACAGATCAATATTAAAAATATTATGTTTATCGAATCTCATATGAACATTTGAATGAGTTTAAAAGCTAAGCCTTCAAATTTCACTCTAAAAATACTTACGACACATATCACTTTTATAAGACTAGGAACTAATTCACAGTACTAGGTACAATATATATATATATTTTTTTAACATATTTTTTAAAGAAAATATATATTTTAGGTATAGAAATCCTGCACATAAAATATATATGTATATATAAAGTTATTAGAATGAAGAGGAACTCTATAAATAGAATATGTTAAGTTCTGTATAAAACTAAATTACATACACATTTCACACAATTGCTATCACATGACATAATACTCATACTAAATATAAAAATTAAAAAGTGAGGCTTAGCTTTCAATGTCAAACAAAATAATTTAATTCAACCTAATTCTCGACACTATTTTTCACATAAATGAATAATTTCATATGTAGGATGAATTAATGAATATATACTATATGTGAAACAATATGAACTATATGGGGTTATCTGTATCATAGGCATGTCACACTTATTATCAATAGATATAATGACGTTTTGCAAAGAACCTTCCACATGATAATTTTGCTTTTAAAATTTAGAAAAATACACCATCTGGTCTACTCTGTTTTGCTACTTAGATTACGTATCACTTTGATAAATTAATTCTAAATGTTGATAAATAACACAGATTAATTTCTTTTGCATGATGCATTACGTTTTCTGCTACTTGTAAATTAACTGTCATAACATATATTTTTATATATATATACATATATATATATATATATATATATATATATATATATATATATATATTTTTAGATAATTGTAATTTGATCTAACATGAAACATTAGAAACCCATTATTTTAACGACATATCCTATGTCAATATCATATTATCACAATTCTGGAATTCATGAAGGAAGATATTTGATGCACAAAACATCATAAACACTTCAATTAGCAAAAAGCAATAATAATGGCAGAGATAAATGCTTTAGGCCAGTTTTAGCTTAAGACACAAGACCGTTTCTGTTTTGATTTTTTCTCTGGTATGGATTGAGTAGGAGCACAAGGTGTCGACGGAGTTGCAGGAGTTATTGCAGCTGAGTCTTTTATGCTTGGAGGATCTTCCAACTTATCTGCCAATTCCTCTCCACTATTAACTTCCAACTAGGATTGCAGTTATATAATACAGAGATGGCAGTTATATATATACAAGAACATACGTGTATCAAGAATATATTCTTTAGTAAATAAATAAATAACAATTGCTTTTCTAAGTATAATAGTATTACACTTAGAAATGCAATGCACACAATTTTATATATGATACAATATTGCAATTACAATTATTATTATAGTATAGAATAATACAAAAGAGAAAAAGATTTCCATTGAGGCATACTAGATTTTAAAAAGAAATTACAGATGAATGCTAGATTTGTATTCAAAATAAATAGTTATAGTCACAAAACACATGCATATGATATTAATTAAATGTTGCATTCTTATTATTTAGAGTATGCCTATTTGATTGAAATATATAATATTTAAACTTAAAACAAGACTGACAAAGAAAAATATTTACATAAAGTAGATCAGAACCAAAGTGAAGTAATTACAGTGAATTGTTAAAATATTCAAAGTACTAACCTTTTTTATTATGGTTACTCCTAGAGACTGGATTAGGTCTAACAGAGGCGCTTTACATGAGGAATATAACATCCTTTCTTTAATACTGCAATTATATCCTGGCATACTATATATGAAAACTGAAAAAAGAAAACAAAATTATTCTTTTGCATGTACATGAAATATTATTTATTGCTTACCTATGCTTTCTGTGTAATCTCCTTCGTGAGTATGCTTGAAATTATAAAGATGATATCTAGCAGCATCAGATGGAACTTTAGTAGGTAATTTATCCAGTGAAACATCGCAAGCTGTGACTAAATGTATCTTTTCTTCCTCCAATTCAATTTTTAATTGAATGTATTCGTGAATTCCTTTACCCAGCTCCGTGATGGCTTGCTTGGCTTCATCTGTTACTGGAAAGGCCACGCCACTCAAAGTCTGATGTCTTGTTTCAACACTATAGTCGGTAGTCGCGGTAGTTTTCTTCAATTCAGCTAATTCTTCTTCCGCTGTTGTCAGTGGTACAGGCGCTGTATCATTTCTCTTATGCTTGTGATAACCATCTAATGTAATATCTTCCGGGACAGTGCCATGTAATTCCTCTTTTATTGAGGCTGTACCAAATTCCTGTTTGAGCGTAGCTTTAGTAGAAGCATAAAGCATTTTCTGTCGTACTGGTGCAGTATCAGGAGACCAAGATATAAATAACCAATCATAACCAGAATCTGGCGATTTTGTATCCAATCTATAAAGGATATAAGCTGGTTGATTTTCCACGATCAATGGCTTGATCATCTTGTCGTAATCATCTTGCCATTTGTTAATTGGCTTCAGACTAGATGCTGGAGTTAGTTCCTCTGGAAAATGAAAAGAATAATTACTAAAGATGCCATGTGCCTGTATTTTGTTCTTCAGAGGATTAATTATGTATCTTGAAATGAGATGAAATTTATTAATAAAATCAATAATTCGCACACTTTGTAACTTTTACTTCGCATCAAGATACACAATTAATCCCCAGATCTTACAGCAAAATAAACACATGTTCTTATAAGATTTCG